TATTCTATTCTATTCTATTCTATTCTATTCTATTCTATTCTATTCTACTCTACTCTACTCTACTCTACTCTATTCTATATCACTTTGTTTTATTCTATGATCTGCCACAATTCACAGACAAAAGCTTATTATTTTACTACAAAATCTACCAAACTATTGAAGTAAATCTAAAGAAGTTGTCTTTGGGGTACATTATGCTTTGAAGCTGCTATTGCTTCAAAAATTATTCAGAAGGACTTCAGAAGCAAACCTATACCCTTCCCCAATTCATTAAATCAGCTATGATTCCCCCCCACCCCACCCCCCACAACTTCTACCTAAGCCAAGCCTGGGATAAAAATGTGGCTGCTTTAAAAATCACACTAATGATATGGCTGCTTTAATAAATGCACTCAGTGGCCAAAGCATAGGATAGTTTTCTCAATGGTAGTTTAGGGTTGGATTGGTGCTAAATAAACATGGAAAACCATGTTTAATAAAGATGTACTTGAAATAAATTTGAAAAAGAAAAAAAAGATGAAAAAAGATCAAAAGAGCTCTTATCTTTCTTATTCATATTTAAAACCTCTTAGGATAAAATTGCAATGGCTTATAATTTGAAAGGGAGTATTTATTAATGCTCATTAAAGAATGATATGTCTTTATAGTCATCCAATGCTCTAATTGATATGTTCTCCCCTCCTCCATGACCCCCCCCCCCCAGAATTCAGGTTTTTAAACTATGAGAACAAAATGTTCATTATGATTCTGCCATATTTCTTGGGTGGCCTTGGGCAATTGACTATTTATCTCATCAGAGCTGCTCCTTCATCTCTGAAACAAGAGTAATAGATAATGAGGAACTTAGCCTTGAGGGATGTCATAAGAATTAACAAGATAATGATTTTCAAACTTGGCACCAGAATGTAATGCAGTTGCCAGATGCCTGTAAACTTTTGTATTTTGCATGGGAAAAGATTATATTTCTCATTTAGCCAGAAGGAAAGGCCATATGTTTCTTAATAAGGAAATTTGAGTCCGAAAGCAGCACTCTTGAAAACACACAAGTACAGATAAATAATTGGAAAGACCAAACATCCCATTAGATATTCAGCTGTGAGGAAAATTAGATGTTAAATGTACTGAAAAAATTGTGACAAAATTCTGTCAGTTTTGCCTTTATTCCACAGTAATAAATCTGAAATACAGCATTTGCATTTCTCCCATTTGAATATTCAAGAGTGAGAGAAAGAGGGAGAAGGAATAGGAAAGGAAGAAGTGAAATAAACAAACATTGCTTTGCAAAAATGCGTACTGTATATTGCAGAAACTAAATGCAAATATGCATATACTGGAATACACAAGTATGCATGAATTTTCATGGACTGAGATGGAAACAGGATGCATTAAATATTTTTTTAAAAAATCATAAACTAGAGAAAGTAAAGCAGATAAGTCTTCCCCACCCAAATTCTGGTTCATCCTGACTGAAAGGACAGGGCATCCTGTGGAAAGTAAGGTAGTCATTTCCCAGGAATCCCTGAAGCCACATTTTAGATCATTGTGGATGACCAGTTCACAAGAACAATGTTCCCCATTACATTTTGATATATACAAATCCAGAACAGGTTTTTCCAAGGGATAATGTTTTTCAATAATAGTTGTATCCATCTTTTTTCTCCAGAACTATTTATTGGGAACTCAGCCATGAGAGTGATATACTGCTACTCGGAAATACAAAACTATATATGACTGGCAGTGCTTGGTATGCATTTTCATTCACTTCATCCTCAATGTGAAAAACCCAATGGAGAATATTGTCTCCCTCATCTCATTCCTCAACAGTGGAGGCACCTCAAAAGGCTGAAACAAGAGTTGAGTATAAATGAAAGATTTTCCTCCAAATGGAATTTAAACAAGTTTTAGTATTTTTTAAAAAAAAACATTGTTATTATTTCTAATAAATGTATGATGAGGCAGCTATAAGACAAATCCTAAGAAGAGGATTGTATCTTACACATCCAGCTTTGATTGCCAAAATGTAAAAAAGATGTTGAGATGCTGGAAAGAATGCAGAGAAGAGCAGCAAAGATGATTAGGGGATTGGAGGCTAAAACATATAAAGAATGGTTGCTGAAACTGGGTATGTCTAGTTTGATGAAAAGAAGACTACAGGTGACATGATAGAGGGTGTTCCAATATCTCAGAAGTTGCCACAAAGAAGAGGGAGTCAAGCTATTCCCCAAAGTACTTGAAGGCAGGACAAGAAGCAATGGATGGAAACTAATCAAGGAGAGAAGCAACCTAGAATTAAGGAGAAATTTCCTGACAGTTAAAACAATTAATCAGTGGAACAACTTGTCTCCAGAAGTTGTGGATGCTCCAACACTGGAAGTTTTTAAGAAGAGATTGGACAACCACTTGTCTGGAATGGTATATCCTATAACAATAAGAATAGTTTGACAATTGAGTAATTAGGCAATGGGAAAGGATAACTGGATTGAGAAAGGAAAGAAAACAGAAAAGGAAACAAAACTGAACTTATATGAGGTGAAGTAAAAAGATCATTAGACAGGGAAGAGTTAAATTCACCAGGAAAGCAGTGTTTCCTACCTACAAAGCTCCCTATAGAACCGTAACCTTCAGACTTATTCTTCAGAATAAATTTTTATTTCTGCAATGAGCAGATGAATGGACTTGGTCTAAATAACCCTACCCAACTCTATAATTCTATTTACCAATGACCTGGACAAAGACATCTGCCAGTATTTTGGAAAGCAATGAATGAGGGCTTGGCAGAAAATTTACCAGGCACGTGTCAAGTATAGATTTAATGAAGGGAAGACATTACTGTGGTATGCCTCTGTAGAGGTATATTGATACAAGTGTTTAGAAGAGAGCTGTATAGAAAACCCAGTGAGGAAAGGCTCAAAGTATTAATTAGATTTGCATAGGGCTAAACTACATTTTCAGAACATTAAATTGTACAGACAGCCCTTCCTGACCTGTTCCCTGTTAATGTTCTCATGCAGGGGGAAGGGAAGGAAAAGCATATTTTTAAAGCTCTTTCATGCAGGATGCTTGATTCCAGTGTTCTGCTTGATTGGTGTTTCTAATATCTTCTGTCTGTTTTGTAGCTTTTTTTTTTGTCTTGATTGGCTGGCAACATTGTGTTTCCTATATTGGAGGCTTTTAGTGTGGCTTGGCTCTGAGTAAATGGACAGCAAACTCCAAGACCAATAAACACAGACCAAGACTCCCAACCAATCAGGATGAAGAAAAAACCATTCTGGCACAGCAGTATGCTAGCACCAAATTTAAAACTGAAACATCTGTGAAGGTCTGACTCACAGACGAACACAATACAGAAGCCTGATGATGGCAGATGAGATTCTGCCGAAACGTTGCTACAACTTTAAAAGCACAGCTATAATGACATGGGAAAATACCCCTACAAAGCTAAATACCATACATATAAATACCCGCGAAAACTTAACAAAACATACACACACACACACACACACACATATGTGTGGGGTGTGTGTGTGTGTGTGCATCTTCAAGACAGTCTTGAGTCATGGTGACTACCTATACTAATCCCTGCAATTTTCCCGTTGCCATTGTCCAAGGCCAAGAAAGAGATATGGGCTCCAGGTCACTTAGCTACTTTCATATCCAAGACAGGACTAAAACTCAAGGCTTCCCAATATCTAGCATGATGCCTTAACCTCTACACCAAGTTTGTTTTTATTTATTTCTATTACATCATAATAATAAAACCTTGGGGGAGTAGTTTGTGAATACTAGCAATAAATGTTTCATAAAACATGTTATGAAGACGAAGATGAAACATGATTTTCACATGCATGTGAACAAACCTGTGATTGAGAAACACCTAAGAATGAAGCTGTATATGTCATTAAGAACATACTATTGTTATATAGTATGTCATTAGGAATATACTACTAACTGCATAATTCCTTAGAACCATTTATATTAACCAAATGAATTTTCAAATTACTACTATCAAATTAATCCAAAATGGTTGCAATAAAATGCAGCATGCCTACTTCTCTCACCCCTAAATTCCACCAATTTCAACAGTTCTGCATTTTAACTTCCACATTCTAAAAATCCTTTTAAAAGTCACAATTGTTCATTTCCACCCCAGTTGAAATGCATGCAAAGAAGTCCTTGATTAAAAGCTTTTATATTTCTTTTATATATAAAAAGTAACCTCTGTCTCAAAATGTTGTAGGTTTGCTTTGCTAAAATTTGGCTTGTGTTTACCCAGCAGCTTTCCTCTTATGAGAAAAGATTTCATTTAAAACTATGTTTAGACACATGTTCCAAAGAGAAACCAGCTCTTTGAAATAGTGATGATTAACCTATTCATTCTGGAGGCAATTAGCTTTTCAGGAATTAAATAGGTTTATTTACTACATATACTAGAATAGATTTATATCAATGTCACTATAACATTTTATTTGAAAGAAGATGCCATATCTAGTAAGTGAAGCCAGCAGTGAATTTAACAGTATTGTGGGGGTGGATGTTAGTATTTCTGACAGAACTAATTCCTAATTCCTTTGGTAGAAATAAGAAGGATTGAAATTAGGAGGAATTTGCACATACCTTCTGCCACCAAGTTTACTAAATTATGCAGTAGAATGCTATGCCAGACACTAATCTTCAGATCAGTGTATCTCAACTTCAGCAACTTTGAGATATGTAGACTTCAACTCCCAGAATCCTGAGAGTTAGCTAGGGAATTCTGGGTGTTGAAGTCTTAATTGACCATGTATTCCATGACAAGATATCTTTTCATCTAGTATCATTACAAATGTCTGACCATCCTTATTTGATAATTTCCAGGGAAAATATAAACTTTCACATTTAGAGATAAGGTATTTCATTACAGAAATACCCTGAAACCTAAGAATTTCTTCCTAGTACTTAATTTAAATGTACAACTTAAATAAAGTTACTAGTTCTTTTCTCAAGTGTAGCTTCCCACCATCTGGTGCTCTCCAGATAGGTTCAATTACAAATGTTATAGTTCCCAGCCAACATAGACAAAGGGATTAATAGAAATTACTGCCCAAAATACATGAAGGAAACCTGATTGAGGAACGTTGCCCTACAATTAAAACAGCAGAAACTCTAATCATTGTAGCTTCAGTCATTTTGTCCTCTTTATGAAGTCAGGTTTTCATAAGCTATAGAAATCCTGAGCAGCATCACTCTACCTCCAGGTTCTAAAAGAAAATTTCCCTTGTTTCTTATTTTCAGAACAGCCTTGAACCCCTTGTATGATCTTCCTAGTGTTTCTTTTTGCAATGCAATGTTCTCCCTGCCCTCCATCTTACCTTGTCAATGAAAGAGGCAAACTTGTTGTTGAGGGTCTTAATCTGTTCCCTCTCTTGCACCCGGACCCTCTGAATCTCAGGATCGACCTCCACATGCAGAGGAGTCAGTAAGTTCTTATTCACTATGACGTTGTGGATTCGCCCAGGTGGTGGGCAAGGCATTGAGCCTGAAAGTGCATATCCTCCTCCACCACCACCACCAAAGCCTCCAACATGACTACCTAGGCCAATGCCACTGCCAAGGGCAACCCCGCCACCATAACCTCCATATCCTGTGCTATAACTGCTGAATCCCAGACCACCACCCAAGCTTCTTCCATAGTGAGCTCCTCCACCACCACCGGAAGCTAGGCCCATAGAGATCCGCTTGCTTCCACCAACGTTGTAGAGACTTCTGCTGCCAAAGCCACCACCAAAAGATCCCACTCCTCCGATGACAGAGGTTGAGCTGTTGCCCACTCGGAAGCCACTGTTGGAGACAGAGTAGTTCCTCCTTCCCCCCGCTGAAAATGATCTGGAACTGAATTGCCGATTCATGGTGCGTCTGTGAGTGGGAGAATGGCAAGGTTGTGAAGCAGAAACAGAAGTCGAGATTAGAGGAGACCAAGAGCCCCCCTGTGATGTGGAAATGAGAGATGTCTCCTTATATGCATTTGACGTCTTGGGCTTGGTTGCATGGGAATGAGAAGAGGAAGGCAAATATTCAAGGGCTTGGCTTGCCTTCAAGCAATGAGTTCTACGGTAACGGCCCAACATCAAGTGCAACACGCCTATCCGATAACTTTAATTTGTTCAAATTGCTTGCCTTGCAATACCAGCTTATTTGCATCCCTTTCATGTTCACCATTACCATGTTTGCTTTCTTCAAAGAGCTTTAAGCTATGGTACACAACTGAAGATTAATGCAAGGGGGTACAACTGAGGATACTTTCCTCTGTGCCAACATATACTGTTGCACATAAAGAACAAGGCACGGATCTGGGTGTGTGATGCTCTGCAGAAGTTTGTAGGTCTTCTGAGCCAATCAGCAAGATCACAAAGAGAATTCTAAGAACACACGTTCAGCTCTAGAAAATTCTGCAAAAGTGCATTTTAGCGGGGAGCCCTGTAAGAGCATTTGTGTGTTCATATTTGTGTGTGTGTGTGTGTGTGTTATTATGAATCACATATGAATCACATAAATTGTGAAGAATTAAACGTATTGCACCTCCACATCAGTTTTTTCCAACATTAGTTTCTTTGGATGTGTTTACCTGCAATTTCCACAAACGGCCACTATCACAAACAATGTTCAGAGATGAGTCTCAGGCTAAATACTTAAAGAGCATCAAGATGAGAATGGGTGATTTTCTATGAATCCGTGTAAATGGCTCAGAAATGATAGATTGAGCCATTTGAGTAACACCATGCCTTTCTTAGGGCTACAGCATCATTGGAACTTGTACAACATTTTATTTAGAGCTATGGCCATCTAAGAAAATTTTGTGTATCACTACAATGTGGGCACCTTGGTTAAAGGAATACTATAAACGAGTTCATTTTAAATAACAAGTTGCTTTCAAGGGTGATTTCAGGACTTTGGGGTGGTTTGGAAAACCATGTTCAGCTAAATGTTTCCAGCTTCTATTCAAGCAATACTAAGTACTCAATTAAACCACAACAAGTAATAAAAGTTCCCTTAATTGCAAAGAAACTTCAGGGCAAAAATGTCTTGCACTTGAAATATTATGTATTAAACAATGTTCTTTGCCTGCCTGGGCACAACATGCAAGGAACAGAAACCTTTATAGGAATCATTTCCCAAGCTTGCATAGAAACAAATGCAGCCAACTTAATGCGTCATTAGAAAAGCTGAAAAATGTATACAATGTGATCTATATTTTGGCTTTTTCCCCAGGCATGGAGCAATGGGGAGAGAGAGCCTCTTATTAAATTTTTCATGCTACTTTCCATATGGTCTTCTCTTCTGAATTCATATAGTTCTTTGTGTTGTTAAAACATTCCTAATGTTTTCAATGTTTTATGATGACCAGAGTCTGATAGCCTTATACTATAAATATGCTAAATAAACTAATAATCCCAAGCAATTCCATCCAACCCCCAACTTTCTCCTCTGATCAAGTGATGACCTTTTGCTAGTGATTTAATTCAGCCAGTTGAGATGGATAAATCAGGGAGTAGCTAAAAGCGAGAAAACAAAAAATGTAATATGTCCTCTTCAGAATCAGATCTATTCAAATGTCTTCACTAGTCTTTCATAACTGCAAACATTACAAGTGTACACTTGCTTTTCACACCTTTCCCTATAGGCCCTGTACATTTTCAGAGTAGCCATTATCTGGGTGGGCAAATTATGGATGTTTATGTTAATTGATGGATGTTTAAACTTGAAAAACAATTTGACCAGGAGCTGAGCTTTTGACTAGTATCAAGTACTGTGGAACCTAATTGCCTGTGTGCACCTCAAAGGTCTCACTTCTTTCTCAGCCACAAAGTCTCTGCACCAATGGCCTAGAAAAAAATACCTCACACAAATTTCTGTTTTGAAGATACATCTCTTTCCCTCTAAAGTGTCACCTCCTGTGGAGGTGACATGCTATTCCTCTACTTGCAGATTTAAAGAGGTGGATGTTGTTATTTATACAGCCCAAATGATACTAGGAAAACAGTAGAGAGGAAAGGGTTCTGTGTTTCAGAAAATTCCGCAAAGAATTCTGCAGAAAATCCAAGCATGAGTAGAAAAACTTCACAGGAGGCCAATTTTCTCCTACTCCTTTTCACATTTATCATTTTGAAGATCTTGTCAACTCTCAGTGGCATTTATCTTTCCCCTCAGCAACATCCATAACAAACCACAAAATGATGACATGTACACAATGGAATTTTGATAGAAATGACACAATTACATACTTGCATTGTTTCTTCTGACTCAAGTATGTAAATGGCATTTTCTTGCCCATTTTTGTTGACTCTGTCTCTCCATGTTTTATTGTGTAAATTTATTAGGTAACCCATTTCTATGCATTGTACTTTTCTTACATTTCTCCTAATGTATTCAGTTCTCTAATCCTTATCACAAAATGGGCAAGGCATACTCTTATGTAATGCCTTTTTAATTTCTATTGACAAACAGAGGGTACAGCCTACTAATACTTTCCTACCACCATTAATACAATTTTGAAATGTCTCCATCCAGTTCACCATCTTTTTACAACATTAAAGTATTACAGGTACAAAAAAGATAAACAACTTGTTTTGATTTTTTATTGTTTATGTATAATTTGCAATCACATTCTCTCCATTTCCCCTGTGAAACACAATTATCTTGCTTCTTGCGCATTATTTCTCAGATTTGCACTAAATATATTCTAATCTATTTAATATTTGCTGAATCATATTCTGAATCATATTCTCAGCCAACAACATGGTATTATCAGTATATAAAAATCCACATGACCGCAACCAAACTTTAATGTCACTGCAAACATTCCATTTATATATATTTGCTTGGGCAGAGGGTTGGACTACCAGGTTCCTTCCAACTCTGTTAATCTGTTAATTTATCACATACTTCCTCTACATCAACAAAGAGGGTAAATTTTATTTCTTACATTCTTTATTTAATTCCCTTTTACATCCTTTAATCCCTTAATTTGAGGTAGAGTCAACCCCCAACTGATATGCCACTACCAAGGACTGAACTTTCAAACTTCTGAGTGGGAGGCGAGCATCTTCACCACTAGGCCACCTCGTGCTCATGCATTCTTTACTAACCTGCTGAAAAACAGAAATCTCAGCTGCCAATCTATCCTAGCATAAGGCCAGATTGCAATTTCTCAAATTTTACTCTTTATTACTTCAATCAGAATTCAACCAAACACCTTCCCAAGCATCCTTAAGAAATTCATCCTCTCGTTGATTGATTTGTTGATTTTGCATTTACTCTTTTCTATTTTCCTTTCATTCAGAAAGATAATGATTTTCTTCCCATCATCAGCACAGATGCAGATTTCACCTACATGTTTAAAAAAGTTGCACAGCCACTCCTCAGCCAATCATGTCAAATTTAACATTCCTCTACTTTCTCAGTCTGAATCCGCAATCTTTCTATTTTTCAGCACTCTTGCAGCATTTATAAATATTTTTTTCATCATTTTTTGTTGGATACCAGCTTTTATTTCAATTCCACACTTAAATATCGCATGATTATTCCCATGTCAGTTTCTAAGAAACCTTCCAAGGTCTTAAGGTCTTCCCTCATCTCAATTTCATGACTTGCATTTTTAATCCCATTTACTCTGCTCAAGGGCTATTGAACTCTCTTCTCCCATTTCCACAGCCATGTCTTTTTCCAATCAACATCATTCTGTAGTTTCTCTGCCTCTTTTAAGCTTCACTTAAACGCACTGTTGGATTGCATTGGGTGTGGAGCATCAAATATATTGAGTTTTTCATTTGTGTTTGCCTTTGGAAATTCCTACTTTCCATTATGGCTTTGCCCTGATCTTTCCATCTTGGTCTTTCCTTCACTGACTGGTTGCTTTTCCTGTTCTCTGTTCATGTTTATAGATGGGGACATCTGTGTTAGAAGATCACATCTTGTGCACAAGCATGCTGGTGCTGGAACCAAGGTGTGTATGAAGAACCTGACAATGGCTGAGATACACAATAATACCATATTTCCCTGAAAATAAGACCATGTCTTACTTTTTTATTTTTGCCACCAAAAAAGGCACCAGATCTTATTTTCAGGGGACGTCATCCACTGACTAACCTCACTTGCACACGTCGCCCCGGCCTCCTTTTTGCTGTCAGAGGCCTTCAGAAACTTCTTCTGCAGCCAGCAAGGCTTTTCTGAAGGCCTCTGCAGCTGATAACAGAGCTCTGAATCGATCTGGAGCTTTGTTATCAGCTGCAGTGGCCTACAGGAAAGCCTTGTCAGCCTTGCTGGCTGCAGAAGAAAGAGGCCGTGAAGGCAGGTGTCGGGTGTGCAAGGCCTGGCTAAAACTGTCCAAAGCTAAGTAGTAGGGCAGCTCCACCACCACCACCCCATCCCCACCCTAGCTTAATTTTTACCTGTGCACTCTGGAGTGGGAGGGATCTTCATTAGGGCTTATTTTGTGGGGAGAGGTAAGGCTTATATTGGGCGCACATATAAAAATCAATACTTGCAGGGTAGGTCATATTTTCAGGGAAAAAGGGTACACAAGTTGAGAATTGCAGCCAGGAGAATGTCTGTGGATATTCTCAATCATCCAGGTCATAATTGTCTGAAAGGTGCTTTTTCAAAAGGCAACTGGACTGTTTTTATCTTGAGGAAGAAGAAGAAAATGCTTCATTTCTCATCCAAGAAGCTTCATAAGTTAGAAGCTTCTTGGATGAGAAGCGAAATGTTTTCTTCATTTTGCTCAAGGGAAAACAGTCCAGTTGCCTTTTGAAAAAGCACCTTTGATGCAACCAGAAGAGACCAAACATGCATCAGTTTAGTTTTTGTTTCCCTCGAGAACCCACAGCTAATAAAATATATTATGGTTTTA